GAGAATAAATTAAAACAGTGGTGTACAGTCTAGTATTACAGTTACTTTTTTATTGCATCAATCATTTTATCATAATGTTATTAGAATATATTATAATAAATAATAAAATAATAAAGTATAAAATAATAAAACAAATTATAATAAATTAAAACAGTGGTGTGTAACCCGGTATTAAGGTTACTTTTTTATAAGCATTTTATTAGAATTTATTATAATAAATTACTTAAATTTTATTATTATAATTATGATTAATTATGATAAATTAAATTATTAAAAAATATAATAAATTAAAACAGTTGAGTGGAGTTCAGTATTACAGTACAGTTACTTTAAAATAATTTTATTAGAATTTAAAAATCAATTTGTCATCATGGTGACCATTTAAAAATCACACTGACCTCCACATGAGCGTCTGGTGGACGGTGGGCTGCAGGTGGAAGATGTGATTACTGACGGCCAGGTTGTGCTCCAGTCTGAACGGCTCCAGAACCACACCGTCCCGAACCGGGAACGTCAGCCGGAGCTCCTCGTTAGGGTTGCCTAGGAAACAACATGGAGATTAAGCCTATTTAATGATTCGATATTCAAAACAATCATTTTGCTTCTCAAGTAAATGTATCTTAATTTGTAACCCTGGACCACAAAACTAGTCATAAGGGTCAATTTCTTGAAATTGAGATTTATACATCATCTGAAAGCTGAATAAATAGCTTTCCACTGATGTATGGTTTGTTATGATAAAACAATATTTGGTTGAGATGCAACTATTTGAAAATCTGGAATCTGAGGGTGCAAAAAAATATAAATATTGAGAAAATCACCTTTAAAGTTGTACAGATGAAGTTCTTAGAAATGCATATTACTGATTAAAAATTAAGTTTTGATATATTTGTGGTAGGAAATTTACAAAATATCTTCATGGAACATGATCTTTACTTAATATCCTAATGATTTTTGGCATAAAAGAAAAATGGATAATTTTGACCCATACAATGTTTTTGCTACAAATATACCCCAGCGACTTAAGACTGCTTTTGTGCTCCAGGGTCACATTTATGAATGTACAGATGTATTGGAAACCAGACAAAACCACACAGGAAAATCATTTTTAACAGTGTGGCCAAAATGATGTATGGTGATGTAGCGGCTCATACCTGGAGCAGGCGGCAGTGCATTAATGTTGGGTTTGATATCAGGAGGAAACGAGGGCTTCATGTCCTGGTTTGGCGACAGATACGGTGGCATATTACTTCCTGGGGTCACGGGGGGCGTGGGGTCACCCGGTAATGGAGAGTGAGGGTAACTGCCCATTGGCCGCGGAGGCTACAAACACAAGAAATCACAACAGGTAAACACCTGAAACTGTGAATAAATCAACTGCTGACGGAACATCTAACTAACGTACCCCACTGTAATGAAAGTTTCCCGTGCTGAAGTTATTGCTGGGTTCCTGTAGTAGAGACAGAGACAAAGACACACTCAATGAGCTTGTCAGTATTATGGGATTGGATTGTTTTGGCTATATTATACTGAAATATATTTTAATAAAATTAGAACATTTTATTACGAAAATATAAAATATATTAGAATAAATGATTATTATTATTATTATAAAAAAATAAAAATAGATGATAATTTAAAACAGTGGTGTGTAGTCCATTTTTTATTGTAGCAATCATGTACTCATTATTTTATTATAATTATTATTAATTATATAAATATATACACACACACACATTTGTATTATAAAGTCTAACATACATTATACATTATAATAAATTATTTTATTACTATTAATAAACAATAGTAATAAAATAAATTATTATATTAACATAATAAAATCATTTAAAAAGTTTTTGTAGTCCAGTATTACGTTACTTTTTATTGTATCAATCATTTAATCACCACTTTATTATAATTTGTTATAATAAATCATTATTAATTTTATATAAATAAAATGTAATGAAATATGTTTATATGTTTGTATTATAAAATGTAACATAATAAAATACATTATAATAAACAATTAATTATATTATTATAAAAAAATTATTTTAAGAAATGTAACACACTTACAAATCATGTACTCATTATTTTATTATAATTTATTATAATTATTATTAATTATATAAATATATACACACATTTGTATTATAAAGTCTAACATAAAATACATTAAGATACTAAGATTTTTCATAGTGGTGATGATTTAAAAATTGTGTATATTTCAAGAATCTCAATTTTTACCCCCGCCTCTATTAAAACATATTTGTGACCCTGCCTGTGAAAACCCAGCTAAAGTCATTTTTTTGTGATTTACTGTTTTCTACATTAAATCATCCTTCATAAAGATGTAGAACATTCTTTGAAAATGTAACCTTGATATCTTTAATATTGACTAAGTGAGGCCATGTCAAAGATTGAAATCATAGTGAAATTAATGGTTGAAATCAAACTTTGATGCTTGTTATCTCATAATTAGATTTTGAGACTTTAGCCTGGATTTCACAGACAGGGTCACAATTTGTAATCAAGTATTTTGTTATTAAAAGAAGGTGTCTTGGAGGGCAGCCTGATGTTAGTGCAGGACCTTGTAGCCAGTCTGGCTCTGTGCTGGCATCCTCTGAGCGGTGTAATGCGGTGACGAGACGCCTCTGCTGGCGGCAGGGTTCAGATACTGACCCTGCTGAGAGGAAAACTGCCCGCTTGGTCCATACTGCTGCCCGTAGCTCCCCTGCAGAACAACAAACACTACACTGAAATCTCAAACTCAACTAAGAACATGAAAACAGAGACTGGTTTACGGGGGTCAGCTGCATCACCACTAAAGACAAAACACCACAAACAGACACAGCCACTCACTATCTTTACTATCATGTGCTTAATAATTGGAACTGTATTTTTATTAAGAATAGATGCAACAGGCATGAATGATCATCAGTGTTTTGCATCACCCAAACAACACCCAAAATAATTAGATTTTTATGAATGTATATAACCTTACGCAATTTAAATCATTTTCTGTAATAGGCACAGAGGCCTAATTTTGTTACAAGATTTGTGGCACTTTTTTTGCCATTTAATGGGCCATTTTATCTTGTTTATTTGTTTAAAAAAACAGAATATAACATGATAGAATAGTCTGTAATTTAATATGAATAATATATTAATACAATTATTTTTAAAAATATGAAAAAAAAATTTTTTTAGATTTGTAAAAAATGCTCAAATAATCAAAATGTACAAATTATTATATTAAAGCAAAAATATAGGTTTTAACATTTTTGTGAGGTCTACACTATTTTTGATATAATATGCAAATGTATTTAATAATATGCCGATATTTAGCATATTTTCAAAGTTTATATGAGAAAATTCTACGTGTATTTTAACCATTGCAAAGTGTAGAGAAAAGTCAAATTAACTGTATATTTGACCAGTGTTGGGTAAGTTACTCTAAAAAAGCAATTACTAGCTACAGATTACATCTTCAACAGAATAATTATATTACTGTACTAATTACTCTCTCTAAAAAGTATTGCATTATTTATTACTAATTACTTTCTAAATCCCATATTAACCTCGACTAGTTAAAGAACCAGCAATCTCACAAGTGAAATTAGTAGGAATATTGCTAGAGAGTGACGGAGTACCAATAAAAATGATCTGTTTTGTCCATGTTAAGTTTCAGAAAATATAAATTAAGCCAATCTTTTATTTCATTCAAATGTAATTAAATTAAAGAAAAATTAAAAGTAACCCCTTATATTACGTTTGCAATGTAACTTAATAATGCATTATATCCAGTGCTGTATCTGACACCTAAGCTGTTTTCCTCACCTCTCCAGGATACGGTCTCTTCACCCCCTGCACTGGCCGTGGCCCGTAGCCCTGCTGGGGTGTCCTCTGACCCCCATATGGCCCCATCTGGCCCCGTGGCTGCCCCATGTTCATGGCCCCAGGGTGAGCAGGGGGCCCCCGGGGGCCGGGCTGATTCACAAACGGAGTGCTGTAAGCCTGGTTTGGTCCCATTTGAAAGGAGGAACACATCTAGAACACAAACAAGCAAAATGCTTTGTTCAAACTCATTCTTTCAATTAAAAATAACAATCCAACTAGTCTGATGATTATAGACACTCCCTCACCGGGTCGTATTGGTTCATGTCCTTGTGTTGCGTCTCCTGTAGCGCGGCGACCGTTGCCGTGGCTGTAGCGGTCGCCGTAGCAGCAGCAGCAGCCACAGCAGCGGCGGCGGCGGCAGCAGCTGGTTGGCTGAAGTTAGAAGGGGTGTGTGTCTGTGCAGGCAGGCCCATCCCACCTGTGTGGTTAGGACCGCCCCCAAAACTGCACAAGAGAGAAAGAGTTGGGATTCATGAAATGTTCTACAAAAATAAAAATTCTTTGTAACTGCTATTTACTTCTCATTTTGAATTTAAGAATAAAGGTAAGAATATTTTTTTTACGCAAAACATGTTATCTTTTTTCTTTAAATTGTTCTAAAGACAAAACCTAAGGCCGTGTTTATTATGATTATTACACGATCTGCAAGGAAAGCAAATCACTTGCTCAGCAATGGATGCTCTGCAGTGAATGGGTGCCGTCAGAATGAGAGTCCAAACAGCAGATAAAAACATCACAATAATCCACAAGTAATCCACAGCACTCCAGTCCATCAGTTAACATCTGGAGAAGACAAAAGACTCGTATTGTAGTTAAAAACGTCTTAATGCTGGATATGTTTCAGCTTTTGTCTTCTCCAGATGTTAACTGATGGACTGGAGTGCTGTGGATTACTTGTGGATTATTGTGATGTTTTTATCAGCTGTTTGGACTTTCATTCTGACGGCACCCATTCACTGCAGAGCATCCATTGCTGAGACATTACTCCAAATCTGATGAAGAAACAAACTGACCTGTTCCCGAATCCTCCTCCTCCAGGGTAACTGGATCTCCCGTACATCCCCGGCTGCATGCAGGCCTGGTTTGGACTGGCCTTGGAGGAAAACTGCTGCTGTCCAGTAAACTGTCCCGGGTTCATACCTCCATTACCTCCCGTCATAGGGTTCATGTGGCTGTTTGGGTTCACCATGGGGTTCCCCAACACCTAAACACACACACACGTTATGACATGCACTCAAACAGCAGCATGTGCTCTGAACGGTGTTAAATACACTCTCACCTGACTCTGTGATGTATTGGTGACACCCCATACAGTGGTCACCACGGAAACAGAACCTGGCGGCTGATTAGTGTTTTGTTGCCAGGAGACGGAGTCATATTGAAATGATGCATCACTATGGAGATTAAAAAGGATGTAAACAGTTAACGTGCAACAGTGTGTCAATATGTGTGTGTGTGAGAAACTGACCCATGTGACAGCGCCGGTTTCATATTGTTGATGTTGGCCTGCATCGGGTTCTTGCCCACAGATGGATCGGGTTGTCTGCTTTTCTGATGACGCAGCCGCAGAAGTCGACCCAGATGAAAGTTGATTCCTTATGACAAGAGGAATTTTCCATGTTTAAAAATAAATAACTAAATAATAAATAAATAACCATTTAAAATTTTAAATGTATTAACAATGACCACTTTTTAACATTTGCAGTGAGTGTTGAGTGTTAATCATTGCGATACTGTTATAGCTTAATATTTTGAATAGTTTTTTATTTTTGTATTTTCCATTTTCTTTTTTTTTTAATTTTAGTTAAAGTTTTAGTAATTTTGTTGTTCGTATTTATTAGTTTTTGTTTTTTATTTCTATAGATTTTATCAGTTATAACTTCATTTATTTTATTACATCAAGTTAAACTAAATGAAAATGAGAAATGTTGCCTTGTTGGCAACTAGCTAAAATGAAACAATTTTTTTTAAAAGTTTTAGTAATTTTGTTGTTCGTATTTATTAGTTTTTGTTTTTTATTTCTATAGATTTTATAGATTTTAACTTCATTTATTTTATTACATCAAGTTAAACTAAATGAAAATGAGAAATGTTGCCTTGTTGGCAACTAGCTAAAATGAAACAAGTTTAATATTTTAATATTTTATTTTATTTTATTTTAGATAGTTTTTTTAGTAACAAAAAAAACATTTTTTTTTTTTGGTTTTAGTTGACTATAATAACCCTGCTGCAAGATCTAAAGCATTTGACCATTTTTATTGTATTCCAAACAAATTAAACAATAAATTAAACATTATTTAACATTATTATGTAAACACTATGAAGGGTGAAGAACTAATTACACACTCTCAATGAGCTGCTACTGTCAAATTTTCACTAAATTTCATTACATTACCACTAAATTTCACTATAAATCTGTAGTACAGCTTCACAAGCAGATACAACAAACAGTTATGAGTCTGAAATAACCACTAAATCTGAAATAGTTTATCAGGTTAGTGGCATCAAATCTACGAAACAGTTGCTAAGTAGCAAGTAAACAAGATATCCACGGGCACAGCAGTATATTTCACTAAATTTTCAGAATTTTATCAGATTTGCAAGAAGAAGAAATGGTGAAGTGTGTTATTTTCTTAAGTGGAATTGCAAAAAAAAAAATCCTGTTTTCAAACACTCAATTCATCTGCCATTGGTCGGCCAAACAGGTAGCCCCACCCCCTAATGAATGCCATTGGTTGAGCCAATGTTGTTTAGATGCAATTTGAGATTTATCTGGTCCTAAATATTGCATAAAACACATTTTGTGGTTAGTCAGTTGCTGGCTGACCGTACAATATCAAGGGTTAAATGTTAATACTTAATATTTAATATAATTCATTGTTGTACCAGGCAAGTGATTTCCGTGTATTTATTGATTTATTAATTTGGTAAAGAGCTGTATTATTAGTGGGATCATGTGTAGTCAACCTCTGCTTTGCATCAGGGTTTAAACGAATCTGTCGGGTGTTTTGTTTGCTATAACACCATCAGACTGTACTTCACTCTTTACTGATGTACTAAGAGCTCTATGATGTGTGATCTATCAGAGCTGAAACAGATACGAGCAGACAGGGACAGATCTGCAGTCTGATGAAACACACACACACACACACACACACACACACACACACACACACACACACACACACACACACACCATCAGTTAACATCTGGAGAAGACAAAAGCTGAAACATATCCAGCATTAAGACGTTTTTAACTACAATACGAGTCTTTTGTCTTCTCCAGATGTTAACTGATGGACTGGAGTGCTGTGGATTACTTGTGGATTATTGTGATGTTTTTATCAGCTGTTTGGACTTTCATTCTGACGGCACCCATTCACTGCAGAGCATCCATTGCTGAGACATTACTCCAAATCTGATGAAGAAACAAACTGACCTGTTCCCGAATCCTCCTCCTCCAGGGTAACTGGATCTCCCGTACATCCCCGGCTGCATGCAGGCCTGGTTTGGACTGGCCTTGGAGGAAAACTGCTGCTGTCCAGTAAACTGTCCCGGGTTCATACCTCCATTACCTCCCGTCATAGGGTTCATGTGGCTGTTTGGGTTCACCATGGGGTTCCCCAACACCTAAACACACACACACGTTATGACATGCACTCAAACAGCAGCATGTGCTCTGAACGGTGTTAAATACACTCTCACCTGACTCTGTGATGTATTGGTGACACCCCATACAGTGGTCACCACGGAAACAGAACCTGGCGGCTGATTAGTGTTTTGTTGCCAGGAGACGGAGTCATATTGAAATGATGCATCACTATGGAGATTAAAAAGGATGTAAACAGTTAACGTGCAACAGTGTGTCAATATGTGTGTGTGTGAGAAACTGACCCATGTGACAGCGCCGGTTTCATATTGTTGATGTTGGCCTGCATCGGGTTCTTGCCCACAGATGGATCGGGTTGTCTGCTTTTCTGATGACGCAGCAGCAGAAGTCGACCCAGATCCTCACACCACGAGGACAGCAACGCTAAACAAACACAAACACACATTAAATGGGTCATATCATTTGACGTTTTTCCCTGATGTCCTGGAGCTCTTTTTTATTTTCTCTCAAAAACATGTTTTGAGTTCTGAAAGTTACATGTTTTCATAGCACAATGAACCCCCCCTTCAAAAAAAAAGATCAAAAGATCAAGAGAAAGTTGATTCCTTATGACAAGAGGAATTTTCCATGTTTAAAAATAAATAACTAAATAAATAAATTTATACCATTTAAAATTTTAAATGTATTAACAATGACCACTTTTTAACATTTGCAGTGAGTGTTATTTTAGTATCATTGCGATACTGTTATAGCTTAATATTTTGAATAGTTTTTTATTTTTGTATTTTCCATTTTCTTTTTTTTTTAATTTTAGTTAAAGTTTTAGTAATTTTGTTGTTCGTATTTATTAGTTTTTGTTTTTTATTTCTATAGATTTTATCAGTTATAACTTCATTTATTTTATTACATCAAGTTAAACTAAATGAAAATGAGAAATGTTGCCTTGTTGGCAACTAGCTAAAATGAAACAAGTTTAATATTTTAATATTTTATTTTATTTTATTTTAGATAGTTTTTTTAGTAACAAAAAAAACATTTTTTTTTTTTGGTTTTAGTTGACTATAATAACCCTGCTGCAAGATCTAAAGCATTTGACCATTTTTATTGTATTCCAAACAAATTAAACAATAAATTAAACATTATTTAACATTATTATGTAAACACTATGAAGGGTGAAGAACTAATTACACACTCTCAATGAGCTGCTACTGTCAAATTTTCACTAAATTTCATTACATTACCACTAAATTTCACTATAAATCTGTAGTACAGCTTCACAAGCAGATACAACAAACAGTTATGAGTCTGAAATAACCACTAAATCTGAAATAGTTTATCAGGTTAGTGGCATCAAATCTACGAAACAGTTGCTAAGTAGCAAGTAAACAAGATATCCACGGGCACAGCAGTATATTTCACTAAATTTTCAGAATTTTATCAGATTTGCAAGAAGAAGAAATGGTGAAGTGTGTTATTTTCTTAAGTGGAATTGCAAAAAAAAAAATCCTGTTTTCAAACACTCAATTCATCTGCCATTGGTCGGCCAAACAGGTAGCCCCACCCCCTAATGAATGCCATTGGTTGAGCCAATGTTGTTTAGATGCAATTTGAGATTTATCTGGTCCTAAATATTGCATAAAACACATTTTGTGGTTAGTCAGTTGCTGGCTGACCGTACAATATCAAGGGTTAAATGTTAATACTTAATATTTAATATAATTCATTGTTGTACCAGGCAAGTGATTTCCGTGTATTTATTGATTTATTAATTTGGTAAAGAGCTGTATTATTAGTGGGATCATGTGTAGTCAACCTCTGCTTTGCATCAGGGTTTAAACGAATCTGTCGGGTGTTTTGTTTGCTATAACACCATCAGACTGTACTTCACTCTTTACTGATGTACTAAGAGCTCTATGATGTGTGATCTATCAGAGCTGAAACAGATACGAGCAGACAGGGACAGATCTGCAGTCTGATGAAACACACACACACACACACACACACACACACACACACA